CATATCATATCCCGGTCTATTATTAATGAGTTTCTGCGATTTAGCTTTTTTGTCAATAATAATAGAAATATTAAGACTTGACATATTTATCAATTTAACGTATTATAGTGTTTAGACGGTTATATAGATTATATTAGGATTATTGGACCTATGAGATTTGATACGATATATACAATTAAAACCAGATTCATTTTTTGTCGATTTAGCGTTTCAGTATGTAAGGAGGTAGAATCGAGACTATCCACTGTTGAGAATATTGTTAATCTTTCTAGCTCATTATCCCGCCTTTTCACAGTACCTGCTCAGCCATAAGCTGGTTCATATTAAAGCCAGATTTTAAAGTTACGAGAAGGCAAGATTCAACTCAAAATTATCTTCTATTTGTTGATATCCTGCCAATTCACTACACTTCGTTTGTTCATTATCAGCAAAGAAGTATATGCTATCTGCTTTTTTTGGCTTCGAGTGGGCTTGGCCATGAGAAGGTGGGTTATATTACCAATGTGATTCTCCAGTTCATCAATTCAAACTGGTAAGGCTGAACTTTAATATTGACTTATATTGAGTAATAGTGGAACTAGTGTCTCCGACACATAAATTTTACATACAAAGTATTTGACTTATAAACAAGATACATATTTGTTATGATAAAATTTGTTGTAAAAAAATATATGTGTCTTGAGTTGGAGACCCGTGGCTTATTGTGGAACAATGACACTTACGTGCCTGCCACTGACACTAACTTCGTTATTATTTTGCCGATGGACCGTCATTGAAATTTTGAAAAAGTAAAGAATCTCGAGTTCGGGTATTGGTATTTATATAGCAGAGCTAGACGAGGAGAGTCATTTCAAGGAAATAGTGTCAAGATACTTAAAATCACTTGTGTAGATATTATCTGCTTATGAACGATTACTTATAACAATTGACAGAGCATATGAAATTAACAAATGATAGTCATGGTAGATTGTGATTATTTCATGAATGGGAAATCTATTTCGGACATAAGTACTAAAACTAGTTTACGTCATATGGAGGACATAGTCCTCTAAATTGTACTGGTAAATAGTTGTGAGATTTTAACATGAGCTGATATCGACAATGAACCATTTTTAACTATGATTATTAACATGTAATTTTCTCGTAATATATTTATTGTATAATAAGCCCATAGGGCAACTTAAAAGTCATGACACTTCATGCCTACAGTTTATGGTAAGTAACAACTTGTGTAACTTGGCATTTTCGCTATAATTAACCTATCATGTGATATGTGTAATAGAAGGAATTCGACTATAATAGAACCTGCATGCATTATCTGGTCATGCGATACACCGATTACCAAATTTAATTAACCCCTTTACACATGCATATCTGTGTGAAAACTTAAATACACACGTAATGTTACGCGTCTCTTCCTAGTTACTTTTCTAATACATTTATTTTTGACGTTTTTAAAATATAGGCTTTATCATGTCTGCTACCACCTCTAATACTGACGTTCGAGGGTATTTATCCGCGCATGGCTATATCCCGTATGCAAAATACTTCGAGCTTTGCTCATATGAAAACTGGTCTCTCTGTCAATACGTCTCACTTATAATCAATAATTATAAGTTTGCTGAGAAAGACACAGCACATTCCTCATTTTTTGGTACTCTGCAAAATATTATTGATAATTTGTGTATATCGCAAGAAATTCGTGAGATTGCTCAAAAACTCATAAACAATAAAAAGGTAGGTATAATAAATATAATTAATAAGATTTGATGGGGCCTTATCGCCAGGTGCTTGTACCTATTGGAGCATCTAGTAGGGACTATACAAGTACTGAAATGGATGCGTTTGTTGGGATGCCTGACAAACATATGGAATTTATTGATATAAATTTTTAGTAAAGATCTGTTGATTCTAAAGGAGGATTCAACTATGTATCTTTCTTTACATGAGTGGACATTCGTCAATGAAGTAGAATATTCTCCAGCATTCCAGAAAAGAAGAGATACTTTCGTGTCCTCCGGTAGATAAAATCAAATATCACCATGCCCCCCCGGAAAATATATAAGAATGTCAAGATAGTATTTATTGCGGAAATCCGATTCCAAAAAACGATAATTTCTCACCAGTTCTTATACGGATGTCCACTTAATGAAAATTTATCTATTGATATATTCTTGCACCCGCCATCTAATCTCATTTTTACATTATTGTGTTTACTGGGAAATATTTCTCATCTGGTTTTGCTTTTTATAGGCCGATATAAAAAAAGTAAATGGTTTATGGAATAAAGCTATTAAACCATCAGCATCATCATCATCGCCACCGAAAACATCATCATCACTACCGGTAGCATCACCATCATCATCGCCAACATCACCATCTCCATCATCGATACGTAATGATTACAATAACAATGATCATGAAGATGACAATAGTAATGATAATGATGAAAATAATAATAACAATAATAATAAAAATAATAACGATAATGATAATAACAGTAATAATAACAACAATAATAACAACATTAATAACAATAATAGCAACGATAATTATGATGATGATGATAACGATAACAATAACAATAATAACGACAATATCAACGACGATAATGATAACAATAATAATGGTAATAGCGGTAATAATAATAATATCAA